AATATGACATTGAATATGATTATCGTCATCAATGGACAAATGTTTGATAGAAACTGAAGAAATGTCAAAACAAATCACTTCATTCATCGTATCTTAACATGAATCTAGCAACGAACTTAGCGTTCAATCACCATCCATCTGATGTAATCAAAAACGAAATGCAAACATTTTGCACATTACAACACATTTACTGTTACATCATTCTTTTGGTCTTTAATGATTTCAAATTAAACTTTATCAAAACTCCTTTTACGTTTCATTCAATGCAAACACAAAACGACGTTCCTATCAATACATTTCCGCCCTATCAACATTCTGATCAATGACAACACTTGCTTCGTTTTATATGCCGTCATATTTGCGCCCGTCACCCTCTTATCAGTAACCATAACAAAGTCGGCAGTCACATTCTTATCAGCGGCGATGACCAGAATCAGTCTTATCACTAGTGTTCATCATTATGATCAAGTTTATCACTCACTAAATATTCAGTCTCGATGGACCTCTCAGATACATTGTCAAAAAATGCAAATTCCTTTGGAGAGGCTAGAAAAGAGAGAATTTTCAAAAAAATTCCAATAATTCGTAAGATGGGAATCTGCTTTAAAAATATTACATGAACAACGATTTCGCTAAACAACTTAATTGTAACAATTAAAAACGCAAGCGTTTCCGAGCGGAAGGCTCATCACAATTCAACAAACACTCTCCTTGATCGGATAAGACCAATCACAATAAAAAANTTAGTTCGTTCAAACACTATATCCTTGTATCCTCTTTCGCTACGCATACAGTATAGCTTCCACCTAGCCATTATAGTATAATATTATAAGGATTAATGTGCATTTATAAGGGAAAACTGCCTCTAAAGTATACCAATATCGTGAACAAGATCGATCACATCTAAAGTTGTTGTTTACTCGACTCGCGTGGTAATTCTGTTGCTGCTGCTTTCAAACTATATGATATTCTTCAATTCCTCTACAACATTAATCTTCTCTTCATCTGCGACAAATCAACGCGAGCCAACCACCATCCATCCCATCCATCCATATCCATTCTCTTTGTTGTACAATACATACTTCTTATTTACAGTTCATACCAATCAACCAGCATTCACTCATGTTTACTTATGCACACATAGATATATAAGTATTTGCGTATATGCGTATAATTTATAGGTTCGTCACTTGTCATCTACAGTGTTCAAAGATATCCATCCATCTATCCCTACATAAAAACGCATTCACTATAACCAAACCAGCCATATTCGCTTCATCAAACATCAACGAACGCGATCATCTCGAAAGATATCAAAAATAAACCAATCCCATTGTACAAATTCAGCCCTACAAACATCTACGTACTCATACAACAAGTAATAAAACGCAAATATGCTCAATGAGATATTTGAACAACAACAACGAATTTATATCAAATATACTTACTCCTCGTGACTAGCTGGCATAAGATCACTGACACTTGGACAGATATAATCAGATATAGTGGATAAAGCGATTTACAGATTTGCTATATCCATCCCATTCGAGTGATGTGCGCGCATTCATACAATACAGCCCCACCGAACTACTTTCATTCATCAATGTTTATGTGTATATCTCACGGGAAACAGACTCTTCTAGATATCAAACTCGCAAACAAACCGATCATGAATCATAACATATTCAATATATTCTGTCCAATAGTGCAAATAAGAACGCGCATGATGAAGTAATTGAAAACTATTGAATCGAAGGGAATAATGAGCGTAGCGTCGCTGCAC